AAAAATATGGTCTGATGAAAGCATGCCCGACAATTGGTGCCTAAGTGTACTCTGCCCACAAAAAGGGCGATCCCACAGTCTTTGCCAATTACCATGGGATAAGCCTCCTTAGTATTGCATATAAGGTCCTGTCGAGCTCATTATGTAAAAGACTGAAGCTCACCGTCAACAAACTGATTGGAACTTATCAGTGTGGCTTTAGACCTGGTAAGTCAACCATTGACCAGATATTCACACTGCGCTAAATCTTGCAAAAGACCGGTGAAAAAATGATAGGCACACGCAACCTCTTCGTCGATTGTGAAGCAGCCTTCGCCAGTACGAATAGGAGTTGCCTTTACGACGCTAATGTTGACTTTGGTATTCCCGTAAAACTTACGAGGCTGTGTAAGCTGACGTTAAGGATTTCTAAAAGCTCCCCCAGGATCGTGAAAAGCTCTCCAAGCCGTTCGATATCAAACGAGTTTTTAGACAAGGTGATTCCTTATCGTTTGACTTTTTTAACTTATTGCTGGAGAGAATAATAAGAGCTGCAGAGCTGAATACAGAAGGCACAATCTTCTATAAGAGTGTACAACTAGTGGCGTACGCCGATGATATTGACATTATTGGCCTCAATAACAGCAGGGTTTGATAATGAATGAGCGCAAGACGAAATACCTCCTCAAATAAACAGTCATCGCTTTCGCGACTTGGCTCCCACGTCACTGTTGACAGTCGTAACTTTAAAGTCTTAGATAATTTCGTCTATGGAAGACGATTTTGGTCCCTTAGAAATTGTTTTTATATGGCAATATAGCTGAAGCGCGCACAGAACAAGTTTGTTTGATAACAAAATTTACATAAAGCTGAAAAAGATTTAAAAAAAAAATAATTTTCCAAAAATGTACAGGAAATTACCCGAATTTCAGGGTACTGGTAATCCTAGCTTGTCCAACACCCTTTTAATAGCTGCCTCAGGAAAACTGAAATATGTTTCCGTTGTTTCCCAATTCACTTCACACATTGTATTTACTAGATCCTTAATAAGGCAGAAATATATATATATAGCGCATGCAAACGCCGTGCTGGGACCTCCAGTTTATACTAAGCCTATATTACATGTTCGAAATACACTCGGAGGGGTTGACTTTCGCTGCCGAGGGGCGACCGCAATTAGAAAATTTAACTTAATTTTTTATTTAAATAAATTTTCTATAACTTTTTGGACGTTAGTACGACACCAGGATTTGAACCCGAGCCTTCCGAATGGCAGTACGAAATTCTAACCAAATACTTTGTCCAAAAACAACAATTTGAAGTACAACTAACATTGATATATGAGATTATTATCGCATTCATTTCTTGGTAACTTGAAAAATTACCAAAATCACAAACCCAACAAAGTAAGCAACCGTTATTACAAGCGGAGGAAACCCGAATTTCATACTTCTTACTTTTATCAAATTCCTGAAAGGAAACACTGAACTCTATTAGCCATACTAGCCGGTTTAACGGTCGTCCTATTTAGCTGAATTACAAAAGTATTTCCATTAAATTTTGCTAATTCAGAAGAGATCTTCTTGCCTGACTTGCCTTTGGCATGGAAAGTTTTACTTGACTTTGTGACTGCCCACTGGCAAAAGCTAAAACAAAAAGCAAAAACAAAAGCAAAAGCAAGGGCAACAATCAACTTGGTAAAGAATAACGATTGAAGTTTCCGAAAACTTTAGGCAAGCGTATGTTTGTCGCAAATATTTATGTAAGTGTGTGTGCATCTGCTATGATATAAAGGGAAATAAAGAATTAGAGCGAAAAAATACAAATAAGACTAATTATAAAAAGGGAAAAAGAGTACAATAAATCTTTGTGCTTAAATATATATATTTTTTTTAAATGGATATTGTATATAAGGAATATAAGATTAAAACGCTACATCTCTAGCTCTGTATGTTTATATTCACCAAAGCTTTAGAGTAGTGGTTGTGATGGGGTGTAGTTAAGCTCCTGAGTCACTATACTCAATTCCTGCTCTTGCGTTCATGGCGCGCTCGCCGGAAACATGAACAACCCTTGCGTAAGATGGTGTGCTTTGAGTCATTGCTGAAATATTGAAAGCCTCAGAGGAAACACTGCAATATATTCACTATAAAGAATCGCTGCAGTTTACTTGTAGCATCTGTATACCAGAGGTGCTGCTGCGAGCGGACGTTGGTCTTGAAACAAGCAATTTGCTGTGTCAAAATATAAAAAAAAATTCTAAAAAAATTTAACATACACACCCCTACTAGGCTTGATAGCTAAAGGAAAACTTGGCTGTACCTAATATTTCCCATTAGCGCCAAACAGCGAATCACAGGAATTAATAGATATGAACGCTGCGGTATATATAATCGGTGTTTATGCCAGTAGGGAAGAACAAGACGCTACAAACAAAGACTGTAAATAGAACTGTACAGATCGCCAGACAATTTTTTCTTTCAATTTTCTCTCAGTGTACCCCATCGGTTGAATTCCTTATATCCCATTTACTCCCAGCGGGTTCTGCATATAAAGAAAGCTGAAATACCGACCTTCATACGAATAATTTTCTCTAAGCAGAGTAGTCTCTCCGTTTATGCCTTTAACCGTGTAGTGAGATAAAAACCATTAACAATTTGGCTAGAGCGATCAAAACAAATGAATGAGAAGAAAACTATTGCTTATGAGACTTAAAAATCAAAGAATAGGTAAAATGTGCCCCTTTTATTTCTAATTCTTTTATAGCATGAGTATTATCTATATTTTCGGTGGTAGGTTCACTGACGCATGAATACATTCGTTGACAGTATGGTACATCTAGGTGAGACTAAAATAGTATGACCAGCAGCCGCACACCATCTTCTGTCGGAAAATATGTCTAGTTTTCCTTTCATGAGCTCCAACTGATCACAGGTATGCTATATAAACTGTGTTTATCTATCTCCTCTTAACAGGACTGCCTTTGATGTCAACTCGATGGCAACCCCAAAGTGGCGGCCCCAAGTGATCAGTCACAAGTAGGAGTCAAATAATAAAGTTTCAGTTTTTTTCTTGTATTAGTTAAGGCTTAAGTACAGAATATGTCTTCGAGAAGGCAATTTCCCTAGCCGATTTCCTAACAGCAAAGAGCATGCAGACCTAAAATATCAAAGATATATATACATAAATATATATATAGAAAAAAAGGTGGAATATGCAATTTAGCAATTAGTTCATATTTATGAGGCTTCAAAATGTTTCTCTGATTCTAAGATATAGTACATGCATACCTCTGCTAAAAGTCTTGGCCCAATGCGAACTGACTGCGTAAGCTTCCTTTGACTTGTCTTACTTTGAATGCTTGAGTGACCTACCAGAAACCTAACTGTGATTCAAGTAAGCTTTTTTTGTACATTCTTTTAAAGTTTTATACCGCTCAAGCAGTTCTCACTACCAGACAATTAGAGCTAGTCGCCATTAGGACATCTGCTTAAGATATAGTAATAGTCAGAGCCGATATTAGGAGTTCAGAGGGCACGCACATTTATAAAACTAAGGGTAATTATTTTTTACATTTATTTACGATATCTTCGAAATAGCGTTGCATAATGCCATTCGAAAGGCCCGAGTTCAAATCCTGGTGTCGTACTTACATCCAAAAGTTATAGAAAATTAATTTAAATAAAAAAAAGTTTAATTTTCAAATTGCGGTCACCGCTTGGCTGGGAATTCAGCCCCATCCTTATAAAAAAAACCATCAGCCATTCAGAGGCTCCATTTGTTGGAAAAAAATCAATATTTCAAAGAATATCTCTGTTGGTTCTGTACTCTCACTCACACATTTAAACTTTGTTCCTCTGAGTCGTTTCAAATATCTCACTCCAAAACAGTGAAGACATGTCTTCCGTCTATAATAACATCGATGATCGGGTTTGGAGCCTTTCAAGCCCGTGGCAATCAAGTACTCGTACCTTATTTTATTTATTTTGTATTGGAATCTTTAAAAAGTATCCATTTTTCGAGCCACGACGAAGTCGATTAACCGCAACCCATTAGAGGTTGTCTCATAATCGAGAATGAATCTTCCGACCTTTTCGTATTATCTCAGAAGCTTGATAAATTAGCAAAGCTACGATGTTAAAAGAACACTGAATCATCCATTTTTCCTAGGATTCCCCAGTTGGCTTTCTCCTCTAGTTCATTATACTCACGCCTCTCAGTTTCTCTCTCTCTGTTTCTGAGTGTCACTGTTGGGACCCTGGAAAGTGCTGAGATATAACTTCTGATTGATTTGTTCTTGTGAAGGAATCTATAATAGATAGGGCCATCAACTGGAGACCATTTGGAGAGGTATCTTCGTGGATACTTTTATATTATATTATTTTTAATTTTTTGTTGTTGTTGTTATTATTGTTTTTGTTGTTGTAGAGGTCTTCCTTGCCAAATGTGTTGTTTTCATATCCTGGTGGGGGCACCGCTATTTGAACTATAATACTACGTAATGAAGTCTTTCGCTTACTCTCTTAGCACAAATCACACCCCAAAATTACGCTCCTTTATATGTCATAAGGATATCCCACCACGTTTCAGCCATCGCATCCCTTGATTTGAGGCGCAACTTCGCTACGTGGGTAAGTATATTTTAAAAAACATATTTATACAACGGACCGCTTGCTTCATAAACCAAATCCTACTCTCAACCACACTTCTGGAGTACAGACCTTAGAGAACAGTGAACAGAGAACCTTTTAAACCTTTCAAAGCTCCCGCTCTATATGTCATTACCCAAAACTTCATATGGATTGGTTGCTGCACCCCGCACAACGGTTGCCTACGTTTTCAGGATGGGCGGCGATGAGGAGACTACTGTACCTGCGTGTCCAGGATTAGAATTATATCCATTACTGTACAAAAAGCTATGTGGAAGACTTTTAAACTCGAAAAAATGTAAGAAAGCTGAAATAAAAACCTCTACCAAATAGTCCATTTTACTAAATAAGTATGTATGTATGCGTGCTTACCACGTTAGCGTATCTTTGCATATCCAAGTGCTGCTGCGCCTAGAAAATAAAAAAATAATTAAATGGTTTAATTCTAAAGTATAAATTTTTATTACAATAGACAAAATTAAGTAAAATTTTATTGTTAATAAACAAGGAAGATTTTCAAATATAAATCAGAAATTTTAATGACAGTTTTAATGAAAATTGACACACTAAATACATACATACATAGACATACTCTACATCAAATTGCACTCCTCAAATGTAAATTTTCAAAATCTAAAGCACTTGTTGCTGACAGTCGAGCAGGTATAAGTATATACTTACCATTAGTACCCATTAGAGTGGTCGAAGAAAAATTGAAAAAAAAAATCTGAGAGCAAAAGTGTGGCTTTTTATAGCTACAAACTATTTTTGCTGAAAGCCAATTTAAATTCAGTGTTCGATAAAAACATATTTTTCTACAAAAACACCTTCCAGTATGCAGACTAGTTTTTTAGGCGATGATTTTTTCCTTTCTATATTTTTTTGAAAATTTTTTGTAGCAGAAAAGCTGCTTTTAAAATAAGCTTGTTTTAGTTTCGATTAAAATAAATTGAAAATCTCTTACACGAGTACCTCAAAAATAATCTTTTCTTAATCCTTTGGTAGAAATCTTGATTTTTAGCGACCACTCTAATGTTAATATGTTAATATGTAAACATAGATAATAAAAGCAAACTAACATACATACATACATATATAGGCCACAACTCAAACCAAAATACTTAAGCAGGACATACATATAATATGTATATATATATATATATATATATAGATATACATATGTATGCATATGTATAAGTACCCCACACTACTCAAGACGCAGTCAGTCGGTCTTAATGAAGAATATTCTCATCTCACACGTACTCACGCGTACTCACACGTACTCACACGAACCAACAACTTAATTATTACCATCAACGTGTACGAGTGTATGAGTACAAGGATTTTGACGCTCATGGCGTCTAGGATTTTTGTTAATCATAGCGCAAATGTGTCAACGTTTGTTGAATGGCTGGTTTGCTGACAGACAGTTGTTGGCCTTGAGCAGTAGGTCGCTTCAATTCACACAGCACTCACGTCCACACACGTCTTCAGACGATGTACGGCGATGCTGGTGAGCCCTAACAAGTCTTTTGTGTGGGACAAATGAAGAGTTTGCGTTAATGTTACTAATTGCTGTGAACATTGTGATTAAAGATCTGTGTGGAATAATAATTACAATCAAGGTGAAAGATGTACTCCACGCGCTGGCGGTGCTAAACTAATATTTGAGGTCACAATCGAAAGTGAAAATTACATACTTTGGTATTAACATTAAACGTGAATGTGATGTGAAGTTCATTATGGGCGGAATTTGATATTTGTAAGTTTGTTATAAATATAATTAGCCTTAATACTAGTACTACAATATATAGTATATAGTAAAATAAAAAAATTTTTTTTCTTTTTTAAAAACTTTGAATGTATACAATTTCCGAGCGGGTGTTGGTCTTAAAGCTCGCTACTCGCTATATAAATGTGTAAAAACTTTAAACTTACTCGCCCAGCGAGGTTGTGCGCTGGCTTTGAGACCTGCCACGTAGAAACCAGCTTCAATGAAAACATTTTTAACTCCTCGTATGAGATACCTTCCTCCTGATAACGACTAGCGCAAACAAATTAAGGACTACAGTTTGAGTGCATGCACCTGGAATGTGCGGTCCCTTAATTTCGAATACACCGCTGCCCAGCTGGTTGACGTCCTCGCTAAACTAGAGGCTGACATCATTGCTGTCCAAACAGTGCGATGGACGGGAGAAGGATGAAAGCGAGTAAATTCTTGAGATTTTTAATACAGCTGCCATTTGGGCCAGATTTTTGGTGGCAGGGTGACTTTATCGCCGAGTAGACCCGGTGGATCAATGCCTTACCGAAATCTGCATCAAAACTAAATTCTTTAGCATATTGCTTGGTTGTGCCCACGCACCGACGGAGGAGAAGTTCAGTGTAACCAAATAAAACTTGTATAAGCGTCTGGAGGGTGGGCAAAGAAGGTAGCCTTCACAGCGAAATATCTCTAAATGGGTTAAGGCTGATGGATTTCACCGAAGCCCGAAATGAGGTTATTTGCGGCACTATAGTTTAACCCAAAAAAAAAAAAAAATTTATCAAGCAACTTGGCGGTCCTCTGATCGGAAAAATCTAAACCAGAACGATTCTGTTGTGCTAGATGGAAGACACGTATCCAGGGTTCTTGACGTTCGTACACTCCTAGTAACCAACATCGACTAGGAGGACTATCTTGTTGAAGGTAAGCATTGCTTTGTGTGTATCTGAGAACGCTGGTCAACAAACTCAAAGAAAGTTCGACGTCGAAAAGCTGCCTTAAAAAATACAGCCAAACGGGTTTCTACTCGACTGGTACTTCTGCTCCCTGAGAGCACTTAAACAGCAACACGGTATAAGGGGACTGTGAGAAAACATTTCAAGCTCTCTACGTATAGCTGCAAACGAAACTATTGGATTTCGTAAAGGTCGCAAAAACAGCTGGTATAATGAGGAGTGCCGCCTTGCAGGCTGTCCACTTTGCAATGTTGCTACACCACTACCCTCCAAGTCAGGCTCTTCTTTCAACTGCTGGGTTACTACAATATTTTCGAGATGAAGTTCGTCCCTGTAATGGAAGCTGCCACAGGAAACCACATGAAAAACAATAGCATACAATTGGAGAGACAGATCGCATTTAGATGCAAAGAGGCAGTAGATGTGGTGGTATCAGGTTTCAGGTCATAAGATCGTTTTTGGAAAACAAAAAAAATTGACAAAATTGCCAAAAGTAAGCTGTTAGACGGATCGACATGAAATTGTATGTCTTTACAAAAAGCAAGTCTCTTAAGACCATATCCGAAGGCTTACGCAGTGTTGAAAGAGCTGCAGGACAGCTTTGCACTTAATAATTGATTTCCACTCAGTGACGTCATACGAGCGCTGACGACCAGGAATAGCTTAAAGGTGAAAATAATTCCCCAAAGCACGATCTCGCCGCAGATTTTTTTGAAGAGTCAATGTACTTAATAAATACCGCTCACAGCAAACGGTATAGTCACGCTGCAATATGAGCTGTAGCTGAACACTTAGTTATGCGCAATAAATTCATTATCCCGCATCATCTCAGCCTGGAAATTTTTAAAGAGTCTCGGACTTGATAATCGCATTTATGGATTTTATTTATTAACATTTTCTTCCCTCATTAAGGACCGCTCTTCCTACCTCTCCAAAGCTTAGACAGTTCAAGAAAAAGGTAATTTAAAACACATTTTAGTTTTTTAAGACAAATCATGTTTATTCGCTTGAAATAGACGAATTTATATACAATAATAAAAATATATTAAATATATTAAATCACAAAGCAATATTCAAGAATTTCAGAAAACCACAGCATGGAATTTCTGAAAAGAAGAAAATATGAAAATGAAATATTTTAGGCTTTCTTATTTTTATTGAAATTGATAATTCATTAGGTGTTTTCTAGAAAAAGAAGCTCCGAATACGTATATTCTACAAATCAGAATAATTTCTTTAAATTACCGAAAACTTAAAATTTAATTTGCAACCTCCCACAGCACATTCGTATACTTATGTATGCGACACCGTTATTTAATGCAAGTGTGTTGTACTACATCAACATTGCGTCTTGCACAGATGCTATATTTTTTATTATTATAAATATACGAATTTTTTCGCTTACTTCTTTCACTGCTTTTACTGAATTATTTTTACTTCTTCAAAGCGCAAAAAAAACAACAACTACGTATTTCCAGCAATGCAGCCATATCTTGCTATTGCTTTTCAAATCTTCACTGCATTTGTCTGTCGCCGTCTGATTTTGCCAAGAATATACATTTTCTATGGCATCTTTTGTGGTATTAAATGTTGCGTATACGTCATGTCGCACCCAGACGAATTTTGCAATGAATTATAAATGAAGCTTGCGAAATGCTTATAATATATTAAAATAGATGAAAAGTTTTAAGCTTTCAGCACTTCATTTAATGATATTTTAAATTTTATTACTTAATAACTCAACCAAATGTCTCTTAAATCACTTTAAACATCAGTTGTTGGCCTGTTGCATTTCATAATTCAACAAAAATGCCATTGTTGCTAAATCATTATGAGTTTTCAAGTTCAATAACCAGAGTCATAAAGCGGAGCAATCACAAAAGTGCTATAAATACGTTGGTTTTGTTGTGAAAAAAGTCTTCAAAATAAAATTCGTAAATGTATAAGAGAGAGAAAATGAAAAAAAAAATAAATATATAAAAGTTATAGAAGTAAATGAATTTGGGCGCATATAATGATTGGTGTTTATAGAAGCTTCTGCTAGAGTGCAGACCAGCTTGAAAAGCAGTTTAAGTAGATTTTTTTTTAGTATGTATTTCTAAATTTTGGGTTGAATATTAGAATATTATCATAGCCTGCTGCAGTGTTTGCCTCCATTCCAATATACTCGCCGACTGCTCGCCTACAAACCTGAAAATATTTATAATAAGTGTTGGGTTCTCGCCCTGGACGGTCGCTTCTTAAATATTAAAGAGTCCTTAAGCAAGATGGAAGCCAATTATAATTGGTGCTTTGTAACCGTTGAAGCGATTTTTGGCCGAGCATCTCCTCCAATTTTTGGTTTTGCGTCTTAATATATTTTTCAACAAATGGAGGAACCTACAGTTTATACTAAGCCCCCCCGAACGGCTGATGGTTCTTTGTGAGGAGCTTCTATTTCATGTCAGTAGTACACACTGGGAGGGGTTGACATACCCTGCCGTGGAGTGACCGCAATTAGAAAATTTAACCTAATTTTTTTACTTAAATTAAGAAAGTTAGATAAAGCAAAATAAGCTTATATGTTACCTACGCAAACTCAAATTTTTCTATTTTATTTTAATTTTTAATACTTCAATTGTGGCTCGAGTCCAAGCTACTTGCAACAATAAATGTTTAAATTAAATTTTAGAAGACGATTTGAGGCTTTC